CCTAGACCCTAGACCCTAAACCCTAACCCTAAACCCTAAACCCTAAACCCTAAACCCTAAACCCTAAACCCTAAACCCTTTGCCCCTCCACCAGTCGCGCGCCAGGTCGGCGTGTACAGCGCGAAGCACGCCCAGCCGCCTGCGCGACCCAAGGCTGCCCAGGGAGAGTACCTCATACCCCCCGATATATAACCTTTAAGGGATTATATTCCCCTCTATATACCCTTTAAAGGAGTATATCCCCCTTTAAGGGATTATATCCCCCTCTATATACCCTTTAAGGGATTATGTCCCCCTCTATATACCCTTTAAGGGATTATATTCCCCTCTATATACCCTTTAAGGGATTAAATCCCCCCTATATATACCCTTTAAGGGATTGTATCAGGGACTCGTACCTGATTCCCTCATTCCCTGCCAAGAACCAGTAAGTTGGACCGTTAGGAAGCATGAGAGGCTTAGAAGGTTGTGAGGGCTTTTTGAAAGTTTAGGGTTTCGGGTCCCCAAGCCCCAAGCTTATAAGCCCTAAGCCCTCAACCCTGAGCCCGCCAAAGCCCTAAACCCTCAACCCTCAACCCTCAACCCTCAACCCTCAACCCTAAACCCTAAACCCTAAACCTTAAACCCTAAACCTCCCTGTAGCCACTCGCACCCTCTCTCTGCTGCCCTCTGCAAATTCCCGTCTTGCCGCATGAGGATTGATTGGATGCGTGATCCGCTTTGTTTGAGGCCTCGAACAAGACATTACGTTCCATTGTCCAACCGCTTTCAAGCGCACTGGACTTGCATCAGTACCAATTGGTATCCTTCTGATCTTATTGCTATATTCATGTGAGGGCTGGCTACCTAATCCTAAACCCTAAACCCTAAACCCTAAACATTAAACCCTAAACCCTAAACCCTAAGCCCTAAGCCTTAAGCCCCCAAAAGCACGAAGCCAAAGCCAAAGCCCATGCAGGCTTTGGTCGTCTTCGGCCCTCCCTCCGTCGGCAAGTCCACTCTGAGCATGGAGGTGTCCTGAACGTCAGCGCCAAGATGCAATGGTTTAGGGTTTAGGGTTTAAGGGTTTAGGGTTTAGGGTTCGCAACAGTTTTTTTCAGTCGGAACAGTGAGTCCAGTCCTCACCAGGTCTACCCATGATCAGATGTAGACAAATAGCCCTAAACCCTAAACCCTAAACCCTAAGCCCGCGTCTTTTGTCTCCTGCGCGCCGTCTTGTCCCCCGGAGGTCGCCAAGCGCATTTTTGATACACCTGGCAATGTTGTCTGCACGGGGGCCCAGCACGAGGATGATGATGATTTAGGGTTCAGGGTTTTGGGATGCTAGGGGCAAATAGGGGTGGTTAGTATAGGAATGGTTCTGATTCTTTTGTTCTGTGTCATTGC